CTTATCCTTATCCTCCTCCTCCTCCTCCTCCTCCTCTTCCTTCTCCTCCTCCTCCTCCTCCTCTTCCTCCTGCCCCTCCTCCTCGCTTCACTTCATCGCTTGTCGTCCGTCACGCCCGTCGTCGCTCATCGTCGCTGCCCGCGGCGGCGACGCCTCAGAGCGGCCCCAGGACTGTCGGCGCACCCTTCTGCTCGTCCAGCGCCTGCGCCAGCGTCCTCCCAGCGCGAACAAGAGCAAGCTCAGCCCCTGTGCAATCACATCCTCGTCCTCGCCCTCGTCCTCGTCCACCCCCCTCCTCCCTCCTCCTTATCATGTTTCTCGTCCTCGTCCTCGTCCACCCCCCTCCCCCCTCCTCCCACTCCTGTTGCGGCGTTGCTCCTCGTCCTCGTCCACCCCCCTCATCCCTCGTCCTTATCGTGTTCCCCCTCATCCTCCTCTCCCACCTCCACTCCCACATGCTCCCCTTCTTTCTCCCCCTCGCCCCCCTTCTCTTCTCTCGGAAAAAAAGCGACCATTTTCGTACCAAAGTGGTCGGTTTTTGTTTTCCATAGTTCGAGATGTGCTCGCGATTCATGTGCACGCTCTCTGCATTGCTCTCATTGCTCCTCCGAGGGGGCAGTGCCTCCCTCGGAGTGGGGGCAGCGCCTCCCTTGAGTGGTTGGTTGGATGATGGATGGGTGGATGGTTGTGGATGTTTGGCGGATGGTTTGTGGATGGTTGGTTGATGGTTGGGCTATGGTTTTTGGATGGTTTGTGGATGGTTGGTGGATGGTTGGCGGATGGTATGTGGATGGTTTTTGGATGGTTGGCGGATGGTTGGTGGATGGTTTTTGGGATGGTTATTGGTTTTCTTATTGTTTTAATAAGAAACGAGAGGATGGTTATTTGGATGGTTATTTGGATGGTTGGTGGATGGTTGAAGGATGGTTTTTTGGATGGTTGGTGGATGGTTGGTGGATGGTTTTTAGATGTTGGTGGATGGTTGGTGGATGGCTGGCGGATGGTTTCTGGATGGTCATGGATGGTTGGGTGGATGGTTGTTCGGATGACTATGGGTGGTTGGGAGGATGGTTATGTATGGCTCGGAGGATAATTTGGATGGTTATGGACGGTTCGGAGGAGGGTTGGGAAGATGAATGTTGTTGCTGCACTGCGCAGGCACGCGTAACGCCGATGCACTCCCTGTGCACGTGGCACCTGCACAAGCATCGGCGCCCTCACTTCCGTTGCTGAGCTCACTTCGACTTGCGTGTCTTGTTCTTGCCCTTGCCCTTGCCCTTGCCGCTGTGCACGGCCTTGTCCGTCTCCTCGTCTGCTGTGGGCTCCGAAACCGCCTTGCCGGAGAGCCTGCGTTTCTTGTCACTGCCGCCAGCCGCCGACGCGCTTCCCGAAGCAACATCCGAGCCAGCCTCCTTCTCTGAAGCTGCTGCCTCACCCTCTGCGAAAGCATTCTCGAGCAACTCATCAATGCCGCCGTTTGCGCCCGACTCCTCTGGCGCAGCCTGGCTCTCCAGCGTGAGCGGAATGATGTCCTCGAGCAAACCTGGCGGCAGGACTGCTATCATCCATCCTCCCTCTCTTCATCCTCCCCGCGTCAACTCCGTCCTCGATGCCCTTCCTCAGCTCCTCCCTCCTCCTCCCTCCCCCCTCCTCTCCCTCCCCCCCCTCCGCGGGATCTCCCGCTCCTCCCGCCGAAAGGGGGGGTGGGGCCAACGGGGGCGAGATGGAATTGAAAGGGTCTGAACCCGCAAGCTTAGTCGCGTGGTCCGTGACCACGTCCATGGAGTCGCTCAACTTCTGCAGCGAGTTCTCCACGTGCTCCTTCTTGTCGAAGGCGTTCTCCTGCACCGCGGGTTCCAGCGCGTCGCACAGGGCCACGACAGCGGCTGCCGCGCCTTCGGCCCTGGTAGCGACCGCCGGCGTGACGTACTCCTTGCCTTCGTTGGTGCGGGCCTTCACGACCAACCTCATGAGCAAATCGGCATTCTGCCTCGCCTCGCCGATGAACCCGTCCGCTTTGACCTTGAGGCGCACAGGGGGCGCCTTGACCTTGGACACCACCTTGGGATGCGTTGCGCTCGGCTTCGCCTTGGCCTTCGGGATGCCGACCTCCGCCCGCGCGCTCTGGACGTGGGTAGTCTGGCGGGTTACCTCCTCCCTGTACTTCTTCTTGAACTTCGGCACGTACACCATCTCAAAGCCTGTGTGGCGGCAGGTGAACGCCATCCCTGGGCTGTCCAGGAGCTTCTGCAGACCTTCTGGATGGTGCTTGAACACTGGCAGCTCTGCAGCTTCCTTGACAGACATCGCCTCTGGCTCCTCCGAGAACTCGTGACCCACCTCGGCGTGGGACGTCGAAGTGATCCTCTCGCTGAGCTCCTTCTTCACGTCAGCCAGCGCCATCCCCTTGCACCTCGCCATGAACTCCTGCTTCGCCTCGCGCGTCATGACCGCGAACCCTTCGAACAACTCTGGGTTGCTCTGCTTGAGGGTCGCGAGGTGGTTGCCCGCGTTGTTGCAATGCGAGCAGCGCCAGATGGGCCTCCGATTGCGCGTCTCGACGAGGGACTTGTTCACCAATGTGTACTTCTCGCAATCGGTCTTCGCACACTTGTCGCATTTCATCGGGGTCTCTGCCGCCTCGGACAGGGCAGCTGCCGTCTGTCCTGCCGTCTCTGCCGCCTCGGACATAGCTTGCTTGCAAGGGCTCGCGCGCGCGTGCGGTATCTCTGCGGGGCAGCGCCTCCGTGGCAGTCTCTTGAGACTGAGATGAGGGTTCGAGAAAAAATGGCGGAGCAATGGGTGGACATGAAGGGTGGAGGAGGCGGTGGCTCCGCGGGGCAGCGCCTCCGTGGCAGTCTCTTGAGACTGGGGTGAGGACTCAAAAAAAAATGGCGGAGGAATGGGTGGAAATGACGGGCGGAGGAGGTGGATGTGGAGGAGGTAGAAGCGGAGGAGGGAACGCTGGAGGTGGAGGAGGACGCGGGGGCAGAGGCGAACAACGTCGACGATGTTGCCGTCGTCGTCACTCTCGTCGTGCCGTCACCATTCTCGTGGTCGTCGTCGGGGGTGGGGCTTCCTGTGAGATAGTAGGAAACTCATCGCCGCCATCGTCGCTGTCGTACTCGTCGCCGCCACCATCGTCGTTATCGTCATTGTCGTCGTCGTCGCTGTCGTCGTCGTTATTGTCGTCGCAGATTCGGAAATCGTGGTCACCGCCTTCACCGCCGTCGTCGTCGTCGCTGTTGTTTCGACGTTGTCCTCGCCGCTTCCCTCGTCGGGGCGGGCGGCGCGTCCTGTCCGTCGCCAGCGGCTCCTCGGGCGAGTCCACCTCCGTGTCCGAGTCAGTCTGGCGTGGAGGAGGCAACGGACGCGGGAAGGCCGATATGTATGTATATATATATATATATACATACAAGTGGCACGTGCGTGCCCAGGCCCACACAAAAAAATGAAGGGGCGTTTGAAACAGGAGTGAAATGCAACAGCGAAGTCGCACTCGAGCGCAAGTGAGGATGCCACACCTTGCGTGTCGCGGAGTGCACCCAGCCCCCCCCCCCCTCCCCCCACCCCCCCCCCCCCCCCCCCCCCCCCCCCCCCCAAGGAAGCCTAAGTGAATTCCGACTTGGGATACCAGAAGACGCATCCTGGAGGCCCGGGATTGTGGTGTTGTGTGTGGTCGTGTCTTGTAAGTTTACGGGTGTGTGCATTTGGTGGTGCCGTGTCTTGTGTGTGTAGGTGTGTTGTGTGTGTTGTGTGTGTGTGTGTGTGTGTGTGTGTGTGTGTGTCGTGTGTGTTGTGTGGGTGTGTTGTGTGTGTGTGTGTGTGTGTGTGTGTGTGTGTGTGTGTGTGTGTGTGTGTGTTGTGTGTGTGTGTGTGTGTGTGCTGTGTGGTGTGTGTGTGTGTGTGTGTGTGTGTGTCTAGCGTGTGATGTGTTGGGCGTGATTTGCGTCTCTGTGCGCATGTAGCTCTGAAGCCCCAGGAGGCCCCAGGAGGCCCCAGGCGGCCTCAGGAGGCCCCAGGAGACCCCAGGAGGCCTCAGGAAGCCCCAAGAGGCCCCAGGAGGCAGCAGGAGGCCCCAGGAGGCCCCAGGAGGTTTCAGGAGACCCCCAGGAGGCTCCGAGGCGGGGTCTGGAGTGCCAGAAGGTTCAGAAAGCCCCAGGAGGCCCCGGGAGGTTCCAGCAGGCCCCCAGGAGGCTCCGAGGCATGGACTGGGGCTCGATGTTGGAAGGATTTTTCAAGCGAAACCGCAGTTCTCTGAGAATCGGCGTCGCAATTATTGACAGCACCATGTGTTTTTGAAGTTGTTTATGTTAACATGTTGAAATTCCCATGTGCTTTTGGACCCTGGCGTCACGATCTGCGCGAGGGGTGCCACCGATATTCAGAATTGCGAGGATGTCCGAGCGAAACGCCCAGAAAAAAATCGCGGACGACGCGTGCGCATTAATCGCCTCTGAGCTCTACTCCTTCGGAGAGGTGCGTCTGATAATGCACATATATTGAAAGAGAAAGATAACTCAGCAAAACAAAACATGAGTCAGACAGACAGACAGACAGAGTTGGCCACTTTGGGGCTTGAACGGTCGGTTTTCCCGTGGCCAGAAGACGCCCGTCCCACCCGACTGCACGCGCGTGCGAGCACGGATTATAGACAGACAAACAGACACACATACAAAATACATACCGAGAGGCAGACATACAGACAAACAGACAAGCAGGCAGCGACACAGGGAGAAGGCTGGCCCAGAAATTGAGCGCGACCTCCCCTTGGGAGGAGGCTCTGGCCCAAGGGGAAGTCGCATCCACCTTTCTGCAGGGGCTCTGGGGGGCCCACGGAGGAGGAGGATGCGCAACGCGAAGGTCGGAGTGCATTGGGAGTGATGATGGCAGGAGGAGGACATGGAAAGCTGTTGCATGGCTCAAGGAGGAGAGGTTGCGCAGAAAGGCTGTCCTGCAACTGCGCTGGGCTGGGGTAGCACTCGGGGCCGTCGTTGGAGCCGTTGCCTGCGGGGGGCGCGGGGGGCCATCTAAGGTTCTGAGAAGAACATTCCGCCCCCGCCTGGGGCCTCTGGCTTGCGCTAGAAACTGATGGTCTCAGAGTGGGGCTGGGGGGCCCTGCTTCCACTCCTGCCTCCAACCTACCCTCCCTCAACCAATCTTCAGAGAGCACGCGGGGGCGAGAGCGAGCAGCACATTGGCGCCTGAGTCGAGCAGCTCCGAGGCGTTCTTCGTCCAGGAGTCGTGCTGCGGGATCTCGGCTGGCGGGGGGCTGCTCGGGTCGGGCGGTTCTGGGGCCTTGCAGGGCGGCGGGTACGGCGGCGGCCGCGGTTCCTGGCGCGGCCGCCGCGGCGGCGCACTCCCTGGAACGGATGCGATCCTGGCCTCGCTTTCGCCGCGAAGGCACACCAACGCAGCCTCGCACGCCTGCCGCAAGCGGTCCACGCGTCCGATCACCAGGAGCTCTCGTTCTGGATACCTCTTGCGGCCGCGAGTGCGAGCGAGGCAGTTGTGTTGCTGCAGTATCCTGGCCCTCTGCTCGGCCGTGACCGTGCCCGTGTTCCCAGCGAGCCCTTCTGTGATCACAGCTATTGGCCCCAGCGACGCCGGGCCGAAATCGACGCCATCGGCGATCTCCCTCACCTCTGCGGCCCTCATCTGAGCCAAATGGGGGCGGGAGAGTTGGTCGGCAGGACGTTCGCTCGCGCGTTCCGACCAAAAGAAAAATGGGGGAGGAGTTGCAGGAGGATAGCGGCGGTGGCGGGCGGGCTCGGGGGCAGGAGGAGGCGGGTGACATCGTCGGTGGCCGTCGTCGCTGTCATAGGGGCAGAGCCGCCTATGAACCGTCGTCGTCGCAGGGGCAAAGCAGAACTAGTAGGGGGTGGGTGGGGTGACAAGGGGGAGGGGGCCAGCTTCTCGCCCTCCTCCTCCTCCTCCTTCTCCTCATCCTACTCCCCCCTCCCCATCGCTTTGGGTTTTTTTTATAATAGCGTGCACGTCAAGCTGGCCAAAGGGGCTCAATGAAACCGTCATCGTGCTCAACGCGCAAATATATCGCTTGTACACATTGGATGTCCACGAACGCCGCGCGATCTGCGCGGCTGTACAACTTGTGATCGAGGGCAGACCTGGTCAAGAAATGGATCACCAACAAAATCCTGTTCGCGTGGGCGTCGCGTTCAGTTCCCTGCGCGCAAAGTTGAACGAGCCCAAAAGCTTTGACCTCACCCTCCCCCTGTAATAAAACAAGGTCGCCTGCCCGTAATATCATGCGCCCCCACTTGGCTTTCAGCGCGGTTACAACAGATGTCGGTGATGTGCAAGCAGGAAGGTACTCGTTGAATTCTGACGTTCGCTTTGCTGGGTTTCCCTTGCGGAATATCAGTTCGTCTTTGCAAAACTAGAGGTCTCGAGCCGATGTTCCAAGTCCATTATCAAGCGGACCAAAATTGACATTGATGACTCGGACTTGCTGCTGCCAGCGTGCGTGTAATGCCGCGCGGCCTTGATCAGCAACCTGTTCCTCCGTTCGTTGGACCAGCAAGATAAGCCGAACCCCACAGTCTCCAAACAAGTCGGGCGGTGATGCTGCAAGTGCGCTTTGATTTTCAAAATGCTCGTGGAATATAAATCTCGCAGTAGCCGATGGTAGCGTGCAACCAAGCTCTTTAGCTCAATCGTTCTTCTGACAGCTGCGTCTCCAGTCCGCAAAAGTGCAATGATTTCGTGGGCCAAAGAAATAGCGCGACACTGCTCCACGAGCTTCCCTTCAAGCAAAAGATATCGCGTACAGAACCAACACAAGAAACCTAACACTGTAACCATGTCGCTAGCAAAACCTTTCATGTGCTTTCCGCGCGTTTGAACCACGTGGCCTTGAAAGAAACGGTCTCCCAACGACCTCACTTGTGATTTGTTGAAAGTAACGAACCGAACCATCATATCGTCCAGCGTTGCCATGGTCACCGCCGCGTGATCTTGCATGTCCAAACACATCTCGTTCATGTGATATTGCATGACCCCAGAACTTGTTAAGTATATGTGCATCCAGTCCCAATACACGGATGACACTGGCTTGTAAAACCGCCGAAGGGGCACGTCGAATGGGAGAGCGTCTTTGTCGTAGCATATGCCGAAAATCTGTTGGGACAGATTGAACTCAGATGGTCGTTGCGTTGTCTTCCGCTGGACCAGCTCATCGCACATCTCCCAGAAAGACGCGTCGTCTTGCAGTATGAATGATGCTGTATCTGGCGATGTGACGTGAACGCAATAATCGCTATTCTGGACTTGGCCGACATCAGTGGATACAACGTTCTTGCACATGAGACAACATTTTGTACCCGATGCGCCCTTCACAGAGCCAACTTGTTTATGCCCCTTTTCGTCTTGCAAGACGGCTGCGAGGCGCCCCCTGATCGTTGTCATCGCGCCGCAAACGTCGAAACTAATACCCGCGGCAAAATTATTCTGGCCCATAAACATAAAACGCAGAACGTGTTTCATAATCCCAGAAACCTCGCCAGCCACATGTTTACAAGAATCGTGCGACAGAACCCCGATGGGCCACCATCCATGATCATTGCTCCTGAAAAATTCTGGTAGGTCAGCGATTGACCAGTACATCGATAGAAAAGTGTCTTCATGTCTGGTCGTTGTTGGTTGCCTGACGTCGTTTCGTCTGCCCACAC